GCAGAAGCGAAGATTTTCCACCACAGCTTGATGGACCTGCAGGAGGCAATGAGTAGGAAGGCACACAAATGACCCGAATGTGCGTTTGTCTCGGACGCTTGTTTTTCATGGTTGAGAGTCTAGACTCGACTCACTCCAGTGGCCGCAAACTGACTGGGGCAGCTATTGGCAGGCTTTGCAGGAAATGCAGCAGCACTCCAAAAAGGGTGAAGCAGAAGCAAAAGATGTCCGCCAAAGCGTGACGGACTTGTATCAGGCAGCAGTGGGCGTGTTCACAGGTATTTGCATAATCATGTTGAATGTGTGTACGTGCCCGTGCTTTCAAGGGAGGTAGTTGATGCTTCTTGAGTTTTTGCGCCGCAGCTTCTGGATGTGCCTGCCATAAATTCGTCTATTGGCCAATCATTGTTTGGCAGGCTTTGCAGGAAGGGCAGCAGCAGACAAAGCAGGGCAAAGCAGAAACATTGGGCCTTTGCGTGCGCATCGAAGATTTGCAGCAGGACCTTGCGGGTGTTGCTGCGACCTGTTTTCTTGTCCTGCTTGTAGGAAGTTCAGCAGCACGCCAAAAAGGGAGACGCAGATGCAAAGGACATCCGCCAAAGCATGGCAGACCTGCAGGAGGCAGTGTCCCGTGTGATGCTTGCGCAACACGCAGTTTTTGTGTGTATGGTTGCCAGCAACTTGTGCGAGCCATTGCGATGTTTGGTGTCGGATTCCTTGTCGTGTCTGGGGATGTTTGTTCGTGAGATCACTCATCAGCATGCATTGCAGGAAGTACAGCAGCACACAAAGAGGGGAGAGGCAGAAGCAAAGCGTGTCCGCCAAAGCATAGCAGACTTGCAGGAGGCAGTGTTTAGAAGCTGCGTGTCAGGTAAGCTTGCAGCTTGGAATTCTGAAGCAGCATTGGCCAAAGAGTTGAGACTGCTAGGGTGCGCAAGCTGTTGATTTGCGGAGACTGGCAGAGATCGACAGGCTTTGAACGAAGTTCAGCATCGCACAAAGAAAGGCGAAGCAGATGCGAAGGGCTTCCGCCAAAGCGTGACAGACTTGCAGGAGGCAGTGGTCAACATTTGTGGTTTCTCTCGTGGGAGCGGCATGTATGTCAACGGGTTTATGAAGCAGTTCATTTTATGTGCTTGTTTGGGAGTGGCACCACGACTTACAGATGTTGATGCAAATAGCTAGTTGCTACGTAGGCTAGTTATGTGCATGCGAAGTAAGCTTTGTTGGACCTGCTTGCAGGAAGTCCTGCAGAGTCCCAAGAGGGGTGGACCAGACACAAGCGACGTCCGCAAAAGCATGATGGAATTGCAGGAGGCCACGGAAGAGTGTGTGTGTGTGTGTTGTGTGTGTGTGTCTGTGTGTCTGTGTGTGTCTGTGTCTCTGTCTGTGTGTGTGTGTGCGTGCGCGGGTGTGTGTGTGTGTGGGTGTGTGTGCGTGCGTGCGTGCGTGCGTGCGTGCGTGCGTGCGTGCGTGCGTGCGTGCGTGCGTGCGTGCGTGTGTGTGTGTGTGTGTGTGTGTGTGTGTGTGTGTGTGTGTGTGTGTGTGCGTCTGTGCGTCTGTGTGTCTGTGTGTCCGTGTGTCTGTGTGTCTGTGTGTCAGTGTATCAGTGTGCGTGTGTGTGTGTGTGTGTGTGGGTGCGTGCGTGCGTGCGTGCGTGCGTGCGTGCGTGCGTGGGTGGGTGGGTGGGTGGGTGGGTGGGTGTGTGTGTGTGTGTGTGTGTGTTTGTGTGCTTGTGTGTCTGTGTGTCTGTGTGTCTGTGTGTCTGTGTGTCTGTGTGTCTGTGTGTGGTTGCGTGCGTGCGTGCGTGCGTGCGTGCGTGCGTGCGTGCGTGCGTGCGTGCGTGCGTGCGTGGGTGGGTGGGTGGGTGCTTTGTCTCTGTCTCTCTCTCTCTCTCTCTCTGTGTCTCTCTGTCTCCTTGTCTGTTTTTTTGTTTTGTCTTTCTGTCCGTCTGCCTGCCTGCCTCTGCCTGCCTGCCTGCCTGCCTGCCTGCCTGCCTGCCTGCCTGCCTGCCTGCCTGCCTGCCTGCCTGCCTGCCTGTCTGTCTGTCTGTCTGTCTGTCTGTCTGTCTGTCTGTCTGTTTGAATGTTGCGTGTGTGTGTGTGTGTGTGTATGCGTGGGTGGCACACACGCTGAACATTGTTTCGCATGTAGATCGAGGCGCAGCATTTGTAACGGCAGCGATGCTTTTTCTGGATTGGCAGATTGTATGCGCGTCTTGGTGGTGTTTTGGACTGCCTTGCAGGAAATGCAGCATCATACAAGGAAGGGCGAAGCAGAAACAAAGATTGTTCGCCAAAGCTTGACCGACTTGCAGGAGGCAGTGACTACTGAAGTGTAAGAAAGCACCTGCTGATGCATAGCAGCTCGGTTGTATGTTGGAAGCTTTAGCTGCATGGTCAGTGGGTACTAGAGCGGAATTTGTCACCAAGTCCAACATTTCTTGTGTCATGTTCGCGTGAGGGACATTGATGGGGCATGTGGCAGGCTTTGCTGGACATGCAGCAAAACACAAAGCGAGGCGAAGCAGAAGCAAAGAGTATCCGCAAGACCTTGACAGACTTGCAGGAGGCTGCACATTGTACGCGATATGCTTGCATGCGCAATGATTCAATTTCTCTGTGTGCGTGTGTGCGTGTGTGCGTGTGCTTTGCAGGATGCGCAGCAGCGTGCGAGGAAGGGCGACGCAGAAACAAAGGTGGTTCGCCAAAGCGTGGCAGACTTGCACGAGGCGGTAGTCTACGAAGTGCATTCATGCCAGGAATGTCATGCGTGCTGGACTTGCAACATTTGCCTTCTTGGGCAGGCATGGGGGGAACTGCCCGGGCCTCTTCTTTGTGTAATGGCACATCTCGAAATTAAGCTCTAGAACTGTGCAAACCATTCCAAACTGACAAGGGAGGAAGCAAATCGATAACGGGTAGGCCCCGATAAATGATGGATCGGCTACGAGTTTCTTGAGGACAACACACATAGTCGACCTGACCCATATTTTTGCAGCGCCCGAAGCCCGCACTTGCCATTAAAAAAAGGGGTTCTACTTATCTACTACCAGATGCCGCAAGGATTACTATAAGGCCTATACTGTTTTTGATAAACTTTGCTCATATCAAAACCGACCACCAACTGATACTCAGGTGATTATCACAATGCTCACAGCCCTCACCTCATGTGTGCAAATTTGGATGGGCATGCTCAACGTGACGCATTGTTTTGAAGAAAGCCGCAGGCTTTGCAGGAGGTGCGGCAGCAAACAAGAAAAGGCGAAACGGACGCAACAGATGTCCGCCAGCGACTGACAGACTTGCAGGAGGCAGTGGGTTCGGGAAGTGTACGTACGTACTGCTTGAAGTTCTGAAGCAGCATGTGGCAGGGACTTGAGACACATTTTAGTTGGCACACAGACTGCCAGAGATTGGCAGAGAGCGACAGGCCTTGCAGGAGGCGCAGAAGCACATCAAGAGAGGCGAAGCAGACGCAAAGGATGTCCGCGACTGCGTGACGGATTTGCAGCAGGCAGGCAGCAAGGCAATGGGGCAAAGATTAGGCATGCATCACTTGATTAGATTCAGCATTTTCAGCCTTTGTATGTCGAGTCAGAGTCAAGTCCTTGCAAGAGCAGTTGCAACCTACCTGCTTGGCAAATCTCAGCCCCCTAATTTCCTGCTCGCTGATTTCCTATACAGAGTCAATGTTTCACGGATCAGTTTCGATGTTCTCTTGGGACACTTTCCCGCGTGGGTGTTGATCGATTCGGTAATGGGTGAGAATCGGGAAAGCGTGCAGGCGCAGGTGTAAGACAGAGAATCTTTACTTCCCCGGCTTTTCGGATGCCTGACCTTGATAGGCCTTGCAAAGCACGGGCAATCTGCAGCAGGCTTGGGTGTGAATCCTTTCGCGACATGCACGGCCTTGCCCCGCGGATCCGGACTGCCGTGCCTTGATTTGTATCAACCCGCAACGCCCCTAGAAAAAGCACTGCCGATCAAGGGCAGCATGGCTATCCCACAGAGGCATGCTCAGATGCATGCACAGATGTTTTGGGTCGCTGGTTTCATGGTTGTGCATCCATCGGTTTGTGGCTGGCAGGCGTTGCAAGAAGTTCAGGAGCGGATGCGCAGAAGCGAAGCGGACGCCGATCACGTGGGCAGAAGCTTTGCAGATCTGCAGCAGGTGCGCCATGTGGCGGAGTCAGCCTTTTCTGGAGCCTAGAGCCATATTTGTTGCAATGACATGGTGTCTTCTTGGTAGCAAGCCTATTCTGCTCGCTTCTTAAGTGTAACTTGGAACACATGGCAGAAAGTTTTATGTTAGTACATTTGTCAAGATGTTGGTTTGCCTCGCATTGGTCAGATTGACTTTGTAGAGCCTGTCATTTTACAGGCAACAATACTTGCCATGCTTGCATGCGGCCAGTGCATGATAGGCCCTACAGGAGGTGCAGCAGCAGACTTGCCGAAGCGGTGCCGATGTCATGGACCTCCGAAAAGCTGCGGATAGCTTTCAGCAGGCATGACTCTGCCATTGAAGGGAGCGAGAGTACATGCCACCGATCTGAGGTGTGTGGTTGGGATGCTTTAATGAAAATGTGGGAACCCAAAATGAGAGGTGCCTGTGGTCTCCCCTAAGAAAAACCCCGAAGGGCGAGCACCGAGCCTGAACAAAAAAGGCCTGACCGAATTTGATTGCAGATTGTTGCAGTGGTGTTGTCGGCATTTTCCTTGCAGGCGTCGCAAGAAGTCGACGCAGATGCAGCAGAGATGCGAAAAAGCCTGAAGCAAGTCCAGCAGGCAACTTGTTGGCTGTCCCACCAATGTCTTCAAGTCTTGGCGCCGCTTCTACGTGGACTGTTCGTGTGTCAGTATTTGTTTGCAGTTTCTTTGTTTGTTGGTTGGTTGTGTTTTGTTTTGTTTTGTTTTGCTTTGGCGTGGTGTGTTGTTTCTTTTTTGTTTTGCTTTTGTTTCTTTTGGTGTTTGTTCTTTCGTATCTTTTTTTCTCTTTGTTTCTTGCTTTTGTCGCTTTGTTTGGTTCGTTTGTTTGCGTGTTGCTTTGATTGTTTGATTGTTTGTTTCTTTGTCGGTTTGTTTGTTTGTTTGTTTGCTCGTTTGTTTGTTTGTTTGTTTGTTTGTTTGATGGTGTGTGTATGTATGTCAATGTATGTATGTATGTATGTCAGTATGTATGTATGTATGTATGTATGTAATGTAATGTAATGTAATGTAATGTAATGTAATGTAATGTAATGTAATGTATGTATGTATGTATGTATGTATGTATGTATGTATGTATGTATGTATGTATGTATGTATGTATGTATGTATGTATGTATGTATGTATGTATGTATGTATGTATGTATGTATGTATGTATGTATGTATGTATGTATGTATGTATGTATGTATGTATGTATGTATGTATGTATGTATGTATGTATGTATGTATGTATGTATGTATGTATGTATGTATGTATGTATGTATGTATGTATGTATGTATGTATGTATGTATGTATGTATGTATGTATGTATGTATGTATGTAATGTATGTATGTATGTATGTATGTATGTATGTATGTAATGTATGTATGTATGTATGTATGTATGTATGTATGTATGTATGTATGTATGTATGTATGTATGTATGTATGTATGTATGTATGTATGTATGTATGTATGTATGTATGTATGTATGTATGTATGTATGTATGTATGTATGTATGTATGTATGTAATGTAATGTGTAATGTAATGTAATGTATGTATGTATGTATGTATGTATGTATGTATGTATGTATGTATGTATGTATGTATGTATGTATGTATGTATGTATGTATGTAATGTAATGTATGTATGTATGTATGTATGTATGTATGTATGTATGTATGTATGTATGTATGTATGTATGTATGTATGTATGTATGTATGTATGTATGTATGTATGTATGTATGTATGTATGTATGTATGTATGTATGTATGTATGTATGTATGTATGTATGTATGTATGTATGTATGTATGTATGTATGTATGTATGTATGTATGTATGTATGTATGTATGTATGTATGTATGTATGTATGTATGTATGTATGTATGTATGTATGTATGTATGTATGTATGTAATGTAATGTAATGTAATGTAATGTAATGTAATGTAATGTAATGTAATGTAATGTAATGTAATGTAATGTAATGTATGTAATGTAATGTAATGTAATGTAATGTAATGTAATGTAATGTAATGTAATGTAATGTAATGTAATGTAATGTAATGTAATGTAATGTAATGTAATGTAATGTAATGTATGTATGTATGTATGTATGTATGTATGTATGTATGTATGTATGTATGTATGTATGTATGTATGTATGTATGTATGTATGTATGTATGTATGTATGTATGTATGTATGTATGTATGTATGTATGTATGTATGTATGTATGTATGTATGTATGTATGTATGTATGTATGTATGTATGTATGTATGTATGTATGTAATGTATGTATGTAATGTATGTATGTATGTATGTATGTATGTATGTATGTATGTATGTATGTATGTATGTATGTATGTATGTATGTATGTATGTATGTATGTATGTATGTATGTATGTATGTATGTATGTATGTATGTATGTATGTATGTATGTATGTATGTATGTATGTATGTATGTATGTATGTATGTATGTATGTATGTATGTATGTATGTATGTATGTATGTATGTATGTATGTATGTATGTATGTATGTATGTATGTATGTATGTATGTATGTATGTATGTATGTATGTATGTATGTATGTATGTATGTATGTATGTATGTATGTATGTATGTATGTATGTATGTATGTATGTATGTATGTATGTATGTATGTATGTATGTATGTATGTATGTATGTATGTATGTATGTATGTATGTATGTATGTATGTATGTATGTATGTATGTATGTATGTATGTATGTATGTATGTATGTATGTATGTATGTATGTATGTATGTATGTATGTATGTATGTATGTATGTATGTATGTATGTATGTATGTATGTATGTATGTATGTATGTATGTATGTATGTATGTATGTATGTATGTATGTATGTATGTATGTATGTATGTATGTATGTATGTATGTATGTATGTATGTATGTATGTATGTATGTATGTATGTATGTATGTATGTATGTATGTATGTAATGTATGTATGTATGTATGTATGTATGTATGTATGTATGTATGTATGTATGTATGTATGTATGTATGTATGTATGTATGTATGTATGTATGTATGTATGTATGTATGTATGTATGTATGTATGTATGTATGTATGTATGTATGTATGTATGTATTGTATGTATGTATGTAATGTATGTATGTATGTATGTATGCATGTAATGTATGTATGTATGTATGTATGTATGTTTGTTTTGACGTTTGTTTGCTTGCCAGTTTGTTTGTTTTCTTTTGTTTGTTTCTGCGTTTTCTATGATTGTTTGCTGCCAGTGCTTGTTATTTGATTTGGTGCGCTTTTTCGGTAGCATATTCGCTGGTGTTGTTCATTCGTTCCTTCGATAGTTTGTTTGTGTGTTTGTTTGTTTCTTCGTTTGTTTGTGTTTGTGTTTTTTTGTTCGGTTGCTTACTTGCTTATGTTTTCTTATTTTGTTTGGTTTGGCTTTGTCCTGGTTTGTTCTGTTTTGTTAGCTCGTGTGCCATTCCGGCTTGTTTGCTTGTGCGCTTGTGTGCGTGTTTGTTTGTGTGCGTGTTTGTTTGTTTGTGTGCTTGCTTGCTTGCTTGCTTGCTTGCTTGCTTGCTTGCTTGCTTGCTTGCTTGCTTGCTTGCTTGCTTGCTTGCTTGCTTGCTTGCTTGCTTGCTTGCTTGCTTGCTTTTTGTTATGTATTTGGGCGTGTGTTTGCTTTTTTGTTTGTGCGCGTGTGTTTGTTTGTTTGTATGTATGTATGTATGTTTGTTTGTGCAAACCTGTGTCAGTCTGTGTCTGTGAGCAGCGCGCAATCATGATGCGCTCAGAGTCAACCGCCGGTTTAGATTTTATCATTGGTCTTGACGAGCATTGTACTAGCCCACTTGATGACGGCTGTGATAACTGTGCCGAGGTTATGACAAAGGACATACACACACACACAGCCACCGCCACCCACCGACACAGACCTGCACACACATGCACACACACATGCACACACACAGGCACAGACATACAGACACACAGACACACAGACACACACACACACACCTGCACACCCACCTACACCCACAGCACACATATGCATATAGCCACCGACGCGCAGACGAACAGGCACACTCACAGACATGGACACGGAGACAGGCGCAGACATAGACACAGAATGACACAGAGCTCGTTGCTGGCAGGCGTTGAACGAAGTTCATGAGCGGATAAGCAGAAGCGAGGCGGACGCCCAGCACGCGGTCAAAAGCTTCGCAGATGTGCAGCAGGCGCATTGGTCATGGAGTGATTTTCTGGGTGAATGCTTGCTTACTTCCTGTGCATGCTGACAGGCCCTACGAGAGGTGCAGCAGCAGACTTGCCAAAGCAGTGCCGGTGTTATGGATGTCCGCAAAGCCACGGATGACCTGCAGCAGGCGGGAGCTTGATTGACATGGCGACATGCTGAGTGACATGGTGAACATTTTGAGTCGGCAGCAGTTTTTGCGTCAGGATGCACAACGTTCATTTTGGCAGGCCTTGCAAGAAGTTGCGCAGCAGACAAGGAAGAGCGATGCAGATGTAAAGGGCATTTGCCAAATCATCAAAGACTTGCAACAGGCCAGGATGGCTCGCTTGTTCAGGCAGCGCGTTTTCACACGATCGTCTTTGAGCCAATGTGTGTTGGCGTTTTGGTAGCTGATGTCAGATTGCCGATGACATTTGGCACAAACGTATGTATATTAATATATATATATATATATGTATATATATATACATGTATACATATATATATATATACATTTGTTGTTGGCGGGTATGACCGATGTTGCAGGAAATGCTGGAGAGCACAAGCAGAAGCGAGGCAGACGCCCAGAATGTGCGCAAAAGCTTCGCAGATGTGCAGCAGGCAGTGTGTTCAAGCATGAGGTCATAGTGTTTCCTTATGTCACCATGTATATAAACATAACTCATCTGTGATGTTATATGTATTCACGTGTGTAGTTGAAGAGGGCCAGATGACATGGCGAGTTTTTGCGCCAGGATGCGCACAAGTTATCGTTTTGGCAGGCCCTGCGAGAAGTTACGGAGCAGGCAAAAAAGAGCGATGCAGATGCAAAGGACGTGTGTCAAAGCGTCAAAGACTTGCAACAGGCAAGGCAAGAGTCTGCTTGTTCCGGCCGCATTGATTTTTTTGGGAGGTCAACCAATCACTTCGATTGCCGTAATTGGTAGAACTTATCCTGCATGGATTTTGGTGCTGGTCACTCACGATCCCTCTCGAGTCAGCGCGTGTTGCTACCATTTTGTTCAGCAGCTGATGAGCCGCACGTTGTAGATGGGCATCATACTGGACGCAAGCGGATGTAGAGTTCTTGATGCTCGGTTGGTATGGTCGATGCTGCAGGAAGTTCGCGAGAGGATTAGCAGAAGCGAGGTGGACACCCAGAACGTGCGCAAAAGCTTCGCAGATGTGCAGCAGGCGCATTGGTCATGGAGTGATTTTCTCTGTGAATGCTTGCTTACTTCCTGTGCATGCTGACAGGCCCTACGAGAGGTGCAGCAGCAGACTTGCCAAAGCAGCGCCGATGTCATGGATGTCCGGAAAGCCACGGACGACCTGCAGCAGGCGGGAGCTTGATTTAGACTTGCTGAGTGATATGATGAGAGTGGTGGTCTTGGAGGCAGGGTTGCATCCGGATGCCGCAATGACTTGTGAGCAGAGTGTTTTATTGCTATGTATTCGTTTAGTATTTGGGGAAGTCTCTTTATGCCGCGGGGGCACCGAGTAGGGAAGTCTGGTGGGAAAGCGCTCGCGTATATAGGCTGTTAAACATATTCCTGGGTAGGCAGGTTCATAAAGGCATGTTTTGCCTGACACTCACACAAACTTAAAAATAGCGCACGAGACAATTGTGTGTAGGCACTTCGAGTAGGCGCTTGTTTTGGCCTAGTGTTTTACCCATGTGCGGCGGGCAAGTGTATAGGGTCGATACGCCAAAAACAAGCTCTACTCATGTCTTGCCAACTTGTATTCGGGAGAGCCGTGGCTTCTATTTGTAGACTTTTGCAGGCCATGCAAGAAGCTCTGCAGCAGACAAAGAAGAGCGAGGCAGATGCAAAGGACATTTGCCAAAGCATCAAAGACTTGCAACAGGCAAGGAAAGCTTGCCCGTTCTGTCGGAATAGCCGATAGCACTCGTGACAGTTTGTGATTGTGTTGGAGACGTTTTTTTGATAGCTAATGAGTCGCACGTTGTAGATGGGCAGTCTGAAGATTATATCGGACACAAACAGATGTAGAGTTCTTGATGTTCGGTTGGAATGGTCGATGCTGCAGGAAGTTCGCGAGAGGACAAGCAGAAGCGAGGTGGACACCCAGAACGTGCGAAAAAGCTTCGCAGATGTGCAGCAGGCGCATTATGTTGAAGCATGGGACGCCTTCAAAGTCTTCTTGTATTGCGTTAGAAGCTATAATGTTATCAATTGTTGTTGTCATTTGATTGCCCCCAAGGTCGGTGAGGTCCAGAAAACCGGATGTTGGAGGGCCCGCTGAGCAGCCCCCAATTAACGCGGAGCTCTCTAGTCGTTTCCCTGATTGGCCAATAGGATGGCAAAAGGAAAGAATAAGGGAAACTGGACTTAATTTTGCGGGCGTGGTATTGTGAGGGAGTGGCTGAGCGGGGTATCCTTTTTGAGCTTGTCAAACCCGGAACTCTTTAAACAGCATAAGCAAGAATTATGCTGCTGTCTTTGATAAAGCAACCGTTGACTATGGCAAGAAATCGTTTTGGCAGAAGCATTGGCAATGGCTCAGTGGCTCTTTCAATTTCCGAGCTGTTTCTATTTCCGATTTTCGTTTTTGAATGTTGGGGAGGCAGACGGGCGTCTTTAATTCTGGAGGGTCCCAGGAGAGGTCAGCAATCGTGTTCGGGAGGCATGCTCGCAGTTTTGCCAGATTGTTCCATGCCACAATGCGCAGTTAACTCCTACACGTTTGCCTTGTGGAGCCCCCCGGTGTGCTTTGCTTGGGGGGCAGCGAAAAGGGGGACCTATCTTTCAAACACGAATTGTCTCCTTCCCGGGTCTTTTGGGGGCTCGGCGGGGCAGGCGTGGGGGGTGGGTGCTCGGAAAGTTGGCCGGAGTATTGACCGCCGCCCCATTGAATAACATAATTTGAGGCACCGCGTGTGAAATAAAATGTTTGCGGGCTCACATCCGCAATCCTTTTGCCAGGTTGCTTTGCTAGCGTCCCATGTAAGGGATTTCGCGTGAAAAACACTCATAGCCAGGGGGCGGCTAACTGCAACTTGCCCTTTTCCGCCCAAAAAAGAGCTAAAACTACGACAGCAGTGGAGTGCGGGCAACTTTTTGTTTGACAAGTTGGATGATGGCATTATGGCCTGTAGCCGCTGCGGAAGATGTAGGCACGCGTCAAATTGTGCAATAATCATCATGCGTATGCCGACAGGCCCTACAAGAAGTGCAGCAGCAGACTTGCCAAAGCGGCGCCGATGTCATGGATGTCCGCAAAGCCACGGACGACCTGCAGCAGGTGGGAGCTTGATTGACATGGCAACATGCCGAGCGACATGCTGAGAGATTTGTGTGGGATGCAGTGTTGCGTCAGGGTGCCGCAATGACATGTCTGGCAAACTTGTATTCGAGAGAGCTGTGGCTTCTATTTGGCAGATCTCGGCAGGCCTTGCAAGAAGCTGTGAAGCAGACAAAGAAGAGCGACGCAGATGCAAAGGACATTTGCCAAAGCATCAAAGACTTGCAACAGGCAAGGAAAGCACGCTTCTTCCAGCAGCATCCGATGCTTTGATCCCCTGTTGGCCAAATTCAATCAGGCCAATCGAGTAGTCAAGGGACTTTACTTCCTAGTTTTGACTTTTACTATCATATGGAATCTAGTCTCAATGACTCAACGGTTTTGGGCGATGCGCACGAGGGAACTAGCGCCAGCACGATTTGCAGCTGATGCATCGCATGATATCGCATGGATGGACAGACCGCATATTATAGAGTTGCAGACACGCACGTGCACACATTGATGTAGAGTTGGTTTGGCGCAGCCCATGTTGCAGGAAGTTCACGAGATGATAGGCAGAAGCGAGGCGGACACCCAGCGCATGTGCGAGAGCCTCGCGGATGTGCAGCAGGCGCATTATTCTGAAACATGAAACGGCTCCGGGATTGAGCGCAATGCACAGCGCAAACATTTGCAACGTGTGCAAAATGCTTGCAGCCTGCGTTTGCCAACAGGCCCTACAAGAAGTGCGGCAGCAGACTTGCCAAAGCGGCGCCGATGTCATGGATGTCCGCAAAGCCACGGACGACCTGCAGCAGGTGGGAGCTTGATTGACATGGCAACATGCCGAGCGACATGCTGAGAGATTTGTGTGGGAAGCAGTGTTGCGTCAGGGTGCCGCAATGACATGTCTGGCAAACTTGTATTCGAGAGAGCTGTGGCTTCTATTTGGCAGATTTCGGCAGGCCTTGCAAGAAGCTGTGAAGCAGACAAAGAAGAGCGACGCAGATGCAAAGGACATTTGCCAAAGCATCGAAGACTTGCAACAGGCAAGGAAAGCACGCTTCTTCCAGCAGCATCCGATGCTTTAATCCCCTGTTGGCCAAATTCAATCAGGCCAATCGAGTAGTCAAGGGACTTTACTTCCTAGTTTTGACTTTTACTATCATATGGAATCTAGTCTCAATGACTCAACGGTTTTGGGCGATGCGCACGAGGGAACTAGCGCCAGCACGATTTGCAGCTGATGCATCGCATGATATCGCATGGATGGACAGACCGCATATTATAAAGTTGCAGACACGCACGTGCACACATTGATGTAGAGTTGGTTTGGCGCAGCCCATGTTGCAGGAAGTTCACGAGAGGATAGGCAGAAGCGAGGCGGACACCCAGCGCATGTGCGAGAGCCTCGCGGATGTGCAGCAGGCGCATTATTCTGAAACATGAAACGGCTCCGGGATTGAGCGCAATGCACAGCGCAAACATTTGCAACGTGTGCAAAATGCTTGCAGCCTGCGTTTGCCAACAGGCCCTACAAGAAGTGCGGCAGCAGACTTGCCAAAGCGGCGCCGATGTCATGGATGTCCGCAAAGCCACGGACGACCTGCAGCAGGTGGGAGCTTGATTGACATGGCAACATGCTGAGCGACATGCTGAGAGATTTGTGTGGGAAGCAGTGTTGCGTCAGGGTGCCGCAATGACATGTCTGGCAAACTTGTATTCGAGAGAGCTGTGGCTTCTATTTGGCAGATTTCGGCAGGCCTTGCAAGAAGCTGTGAAGCAGACAAAGAAGAGCGACGCAGATGCAAAGGACATTTGCCAAAGCATCAAAGATTTGGAACAGGCAAGAAAAGCACGCTTGTTCCGGCAGCATTAAATTTCATATAACATGTGTTTCCACGCGATCGCCTTTGAGCCAGGGTGTGCCGCCCCCACTTGTTGTGTGTGTTCCGATGCAGCGCATGTTTCCTACGATGACATATGTTACCATCAGCATTTTGTTTGTTTTGCAGATCTGCGTTTATTGGATGTTTGAACGAGCTGCGGTGGTAAGGTCATCTTGAATCACTGTTGGTCCCTAATGATGCCATGATGCCGACGAGCCTACTTTGCATCAAAAAGACACTGGTAAATTACGGCAACTCAGCGGATTTCCGTATCCTTTGAGATGGTCAAGAAGGGAAATCAAAGGAGAACCACCTTTGCGGGTGTTTGCCCATGGAAAGATGCCCCCTGGTGACTGGGAGTTGGCTGGCGGGTAGGGCGTGCAACGATAGGTGATGGGCTGCACTGCAGCAACGGGGGCTGTACATTCGCAGGAAAGATGCGGGATTTTGGGATTGCTTGAAGGTAGACTTGAAGCGAGGGGTTTCCCTCTTGGGGTAGATCAACCCACTCTGGGTTCAAGTCTAGATCCCTGATTTGTGTCTGTATGAGCAGCCTCGTCCATGCAATGCTGAGATGCCGACTGGTGCTGGGGAACGATTGGCCACACTTGTTTTGCGCAGGTCCGATGCTCCTTTGGAATGGTTGAACCCAAGGAAGGCAGACTTGGCCCCATGGTTGAACGCCTGGGTTTGCGGCTACGTTGGAGTAGTTCAGGCGAACCTCCGAGGTGGGGTTATTTCCCTTTGTAAAGCAGGTAGCATCTGAAAAGGACTTGCGCAAATGGGGTCTGTTGCAACCTCCCAAGTGTAGACTTGAGTGGGATGGTCTCGTGTTCCTCGGTTATTTTCCAGACAGTCAAAAAAAGGGGATGTTGAGAATGAATCTAGGGTCATTCCCTCATTCCCTTCTGAGAACCGGCAAGCCTTTTTGTTTTGTTTTGTTAGTTTTGTTAGCAGATGTCACATGGGTTGCCCACAGCCGATCTCACCTCTCCAGGCCTTGCAAGAAGTTCGCACACTGGCAAAGCTGCAGGCAAGGGATTCGAGAGAAAGTCACCAGCAGTGAGTCACACTCAAAGCCTCCTTTTGAGGTGTCACGAGGAAACTAGGCAACTTGGGGTGCCCCAATTTTCAGACAAGCCCAGTCAACGGGCTTTGGAGTTTTCATGTTTTGAAACCCGCAAAATGGTTGTTGGAGACAAATCCCCAAGTAAATGTCCTCCACAGCCCCTCTCTTAATTAACACTCGATTCATGTTTGGCCTTTAGCATGCCACCAAGGGGCCACCCCCAAAAAGGCACATCCATATAAGTGCTTGAAATCCAAACGGGTTGCCGACATTTGACTGTTTGACCCGTTCACGTGTACCAAACAGTCCAGTGTCAAGCTGGAATGCCGTAGCTTGTATTCGCGTGGAACTCTTGATGCCGCGTGTACCCGTGCTCGACTCTGCGAGTTTTCAGCATTGCCATTGATCACTTTTGACTTTCAATTTTGACTGCTTGACTGCTGTTCACAAGTCAAAGCGTGACAGAAGAAGTCAAAAAGTCGAACAGTCGAAACGTCTAATCTAACAAGAACATGAAGTCAAGGCACGTGAACCGGGGATCAAACCGTCGAACAAGTTGACCAATCTTATCCGTGCGTACTGTCCAGTTTGCTACTTGTCCAACGTTTCTACATTTCCCGCTTTTTGGCACCTTGCAGTTTCCTACTCTTCTTGTTTTTTTGTTAGTTTTATGAATTCTAAATTTGCTCCGTTTTTTTCCTGTTCTACCTTTCTGCTCTTCTTCCATACACCAGGATGGCAATTTTCACTTCTTATTTCTTAAGATTTGGGCCCGTTTCAGCTTGTTAGGTCATTGGCCCAGGTGCACTTTGGGCAATCGTGTGCGCGTGTTGCAGGCCGTCGAAGAGGTCGCGGAAGTTCAAGACGGCTGGCAGGCGAGCGACGTCTTGATGCAGGGTTGGGCAAGAATTGCCGCATATTGTCGCCTATAGATAGGGAAACCAACAGGAGGTTGTTTAAACCATGATGAAAAGAATGTGGGTTGGCCCAACCCTGCTTTGATGGGCGCTTTTGCCTTGCGTCGCAATCCATACCTGGGTAGATGCAGGTGATTGAACGGCAACCCAAACCAAACACAGGTGCCGCTTTAGGCTTTCCGCCGCCAATTGATTTTCTCTACATGGTGAAATGTTGTAGGGATTACTGGCTTGCCTCTCTTTGTCATGCACCCCTGAGGGTTGGGTCATACACCAATTCACTGGGGCTCCCTACCACTTGTGGGATGCACGCCTTCAGGTATACGCGTCAAGGAGTACGCCACATGTTGCCGTGATTTTCAACTGTTGCGGTCTACAGACTAAGCGCATTTGACCGTGATGCATTTGATCGAGCCCTCAAGGTGGAATCAAATGATTGATTGATTAGCTAGGGCATATTCACATATTATCATGATCTTGGAGGCAAGAGACACGTCTTTGTTGCCTTTGGTCGAAGATTCGGACTCGGCACAGCTGGAGCTCTAGATGTCCTCTGGGATGCTACGGTGGTCAAACATTGCCGATGAAGGATTGAAAGCGGACAATTCGTGTTCTGATTCTTTTGGTGCTTTCTCAACGGATCGCTAAATATCGTTTGAGAAATGTTCATCCATGCAGAATTGTTCCTTGCGCCTGCCCATTTGCAGGTCACTGAAGCTGACAGCAAAAGTGGACTGACCCAAGAAGAAGTGGAAGCTCTTCAAGCGACTGTGGCGTCCCAACAGCAGGCGCACAAGAAAGGTAAGGCAATGTGAACCAGTGAGCCAGTCATTGAGCGAGTGTTTGGGTTCCAAGATTTGCCTGTTTGGCTCACCACGCTAAGCGACTGAAGGATTCGTAAACAGACGGGCACGCCAATGCTGGCCTAGGTTTCTTAAGCACCTGGTTTTGACAGCCAAGTATGACAATTGGGTATGAATAGACGCGTATCGCTCTTGCAGGTATGCCCTAGGCTGGGAGGAAACATGTCCACCCTTTTCTGCTCGACATTGTTGCCTTGTGCTCTCTCGGCGAACGCCTGTGCGGGAGAGTCATAGAATAAGTTATGACCCCCCGACACTTCCAACAAGAACTATAGGCCTAACTGCTTAGCGGCCCCAGAAACTGAAGAGGTGCGAAATGCTCGCGCAAGGCCTTAGAGGACGTTCAGCTGCACGTGCTACGGGATGGTCTCGAGGAGTTGGCCCAGGCGTGAAAAACCTGGTTGGGAAGGCCAGGTATTGGGGTCTTTTGACCTGACACATGATACCAACCATTTGAAAGGGCAGGTTGCAGAAATCATTTAACAACCAGACCTTGGCCCCCTAGAGAAACCAAAAACATCTTGAAACAATGAGCTTTTGAATATGTTTAAGCAGGGGGTTCGACTTCAGCTACGTCTCTTGTTGGACTCCATGTACGGGGTGTGGTGCAAAATAGGGCCCCCCAAACAGGAGTGGTCTTCGTTGTGGGAAGCTTATACTACTTCCCCGTATGTCCCTTCCAAATGGACCATAAACTGGACATGTTCCACTGCACCTCATACGAGCGCAGGGTAAGATAATGGATGCTTCTCCAAAAGGACATGAGCAAATTGGGTTGTTCCAGTGCACCCTGGTTTTTGTGCAGATAATGTTTGTCCTTTATCATGTTTGTAGCACATCTGGATATCTCCCCATGTCCACCCCAAACTGTTGCTCGTTTGGATGATTTGGGTTTGCCTCCAAATAGGCGAACCCCTGAGTGGTTTTCCTTTGTTTCCTTTGAAAGCAAACAGCAAAGAGGGCGCCTTGCAAAAAGACACTCCCATATGTGCTTGGTGAAGATCACCTAAAAGAAAATAAACTCAATTGGACAGCGCCTGTCATTAGTCCTATCATCACGGTCTCACAATTGTGTACACTGCCTTTTCTACAGTCCCTACAAAACCTGGGAGTGGAGACCTTTACTGAATTGGTTAATGGTTTGGGCGCCGCTCAATGAAATCTTCCCCGCAGGAGATCCTGAAGGCATCAGAAGGGGAACTATGCACAAAATGGGGGTCGATCCTAGCTGCAAGCGCCGGCATCTAGTTGGGAACCAAGTACGACCCTTCTAGTTGTTGCAAGGCAGTTTCGAGCCTGGTTCGCTGCTGTACTGGTATATGGAATCTCGGAGGGGAAGTGACAGGACACCAAATCTCGGGGGATGGCGAAAACACTGTAGACAGCTAAGCCGAAGGGTTGGTGCGTCAAGAGCTTTTCCAAGGATTGTTTGCACATGATTTCACTACTAGCCCAGTAGGACCTGTTAACCTCCATGAATCCTTGTAACTAGGTTTCATCAGCGACCCCCGGCAAGCCATCGAAGCAGGAGCCTCTAGGTTCCATGCTTGGGAGGGCAAGGGACAATCATGGGAACCTGGTTTTTGAAAGGAGACCTACCAACCGAACACAACACCTACAGGACCTCGTTCATTGTAGACAACAACCCCCAGTCAACCCCTCGAGGAGCGACGCCGAAAGGAGACGAACGACCAATTCTAGGAGCAATCGTAGGCGCCCTTAACTTTTGTCATGTCCTGTCAAAAGTTCTTCAGCTTCTTTCGCTTGGTTATCTTCTTTACCATTGCGACTTGGGACTTTTGGGACTTGTGGGACGAGTTGCGCTGCACTCTCCGTTTCGGGCTCGCGTCTATCTCAGGTGGTGGCTGCGGTGCGCCACGCCTTCGGGGACAGCGAGGCGGAGGTGGCGGACCTGAGCCGCGCCCGCGAGGCCTGCGAAGCCTTCGGAGCCCTCGAAGCGGTCCATGTTCGTCGGCGGGTCTGGCTGCACCATTCCTTTGGGCCTTTGGGTCGAAAGTGGTTCCCTTTTGAGGGGTTCTCAGAGTTTCTAAGGTGGATTAACCCTCACCGCTATTTGGAGGGTAAGTTTCAGGATTCAGGATGTCGCTTTGAACCCGGTTCCCGGGGCTTCAGGCGAAGCCCCGCGCCCCTGTGGGTTGTTTCTCCTCCTTCCTTTGAAGGGTCCAGAACGGGCTGCCTCATTTCAGTATGCAGACATTTCGAGAAATTTGTTCTGTGTCGAAGTTTGCTTTCCCTTTGAACCAAGCACAGCTGCCTTACCCGGGAAACAAGAAGCACCCCAAATCGGTGTGTACTTGTAGTTTGGTGGCCATGCAATTTCAACTGAAACCAAAGGGAAACCACCCAAACCGCCTTTGAGATGCGCCCAAATGCAGGGTGCATGATAAAACAAGAAAGCCCTTCTGGATTCGACCAAAGGGCTGAAATCTGTGCTTGTTCGGCAGACGGTGGGAACAATGCACACCTGGAAGATTCATGCGTGTGTGTGTGAGTTTGTGCTCTGTGTGCGTGCGCGCGCGTGCAAGCCTTCGTTCCTCCGTGCGCACGCTCAAGGAAGGCAAAAGGAAGCTTCCACCATAGGAGGTTCCTCCCGTTTTGGCACATACCGAAATGTCCCCTTCTTTCAGATTCGAGCATTGCGGTTTCATGGCAATTTTAAATTGGTTTTCAAAATTGAATGATGCAATGGGTCCGAGATGCAGCTCTCCACTCTGCATACACATTGAAGGCGACGCGTACATAAAAGGGGCAATTTGGGTTGGGCGGGCATCGAACATGTGGTACGTCACATGTGTCGGCGCCCACGCGCGTGTGTGTCTGTGTCTGTGTCTATGTCTGTGTCTGTGTCTATATCTATGTCTGTGTCTATATCTGTGTGTCTGTGTGTCTCTGTGTCGGTGTGTCGGTGTGTCTGTGTGTCTGTGTGTCTGTGTCTGTGTTTGTGTCTGTGTCTGTGTCTGTGTTTGTGTCTGTGTTTTTGTCAGTTTCTGTGTCTGTGTGTCTGTGTCTGCTTTTTTGTGTCTGTGTCTGTGTGTCTGTGTTTGTGTCTGCTTTTTTGTGTCTGTGTCTGTGTGTCTGTGTCTGTGTGTCTGTGTCTGTGTCTGTGTCTGTGTTTGTGTTTGTGTTTGTGTTTGTTTGTGTGTGTCGCGTACATGTTTGTTTCTTTTTAGCTTGTGCCAGCGATATTCATTCAAACATAGCATGACAGATTCTGAAGCCCAGCGTCGGGTCGCAGGCACGGAAAGCCGTGGCTAGATATGTGTAAGAACTCGTGCTTTGGTTTTGGGAATCAACAGCTTGGGCGTTGGGTTGAGGGGTTGCCGGTCCTTGGCAGCAAACCTTACTAGTCAAAGATCACCAAGCAAGCAGCATGTGTTGGGAAGCGTGAGTTCAGTGATGTCGCTTCACTTTAGAGATACGCCGCTACGCCGCTACGCCCAAGGCACAAGTCCAAACAAAGACACAAGTCACGCGCGTCACATCCAACAAGGCGCTCTCTGGCAGGTGATGGAAGTGAGGATCACGGAGCTGGAGAAGGCCAAGCCTGCGCTCGCGCTTGATGCGTGCTCAATTGACTATTGATCGAACAATTGGGGACGCCACACATGGTGATTCTCAATCTTTTTCCTTTTCTTTCTTCTAAGAAATATCAGAGAAGTGAGCAAGGCCCACAACCCCCGAGCTGATGCCTTTTGCCACCCGGCAGTCATTCTTTTGTCCACCCTGGGTTGCTTGTCTGGCCCTTTTTGCGCAGGCAGGTTGAAACATGTTGGGACTGTGGAATCTTGGTTGGACCCAAAGACAAGCTGAAGATGCAGAGCAATCTGTGGGAGACCGATTTTGCCAGAGGTTCCTGTGCCAATTGGTTTTGGAGGGTTCCAAAGGGGGTGCTGTTGCGCTGTGGTTAATACAAATCATAATCAGTTTTGCTCTCCATTGTTTGTTTCTTCAAACTTTGCTCAAGTTTGACACGAGCAGTAGCCGTCGTCCGTGTGTTTTGAGGCATGGTATTATGATATTAATATACACAATGCGTTGGGCGAATGTTCGTGACCTCAGCATTGGTACATCATCCACAGTGACTAGTTCGTTGTTTGCGGGGTCTCTTGGTTCTGTTTGGTGAGTTCATCAATTTGTTTCGGCCCACCCTTGACCCTGCTAGTTTGACCCGCACAGATGTTAGATAGTTGAATTTTGCATCCTCTTCCCGTGTGCGTCAGCTGCCATAGCTGCCACAGGACGCAGAGTTCAGTTGGGCCCCTCCCATTTTGGGTTGTAAGCGAATGGGCGGTTGAAGCAAACCAGACCCATGAAGAATCGGGTTGGGGGGTCCAAAATTGAGAACTTTGGGTCAAGTTTCCATCGAGGTATCAGCCCTGCTGCACGGCACACCTTGGTGAAGCAAGTGCCTCACCGAAGTGCTGAATGCAAGCATGGACTTGTGCAAGCTGGTAGCTGTTTGGGCTTAGCACAAGATCACACAAAGATGAAGGCTTAATGTTAACAAGGTTTAGAGTGCAAACAAGGAATCAGGGTCAGGATCCAGTACTTCTTACCAGGTGCAGCGCAAGCTAGATGGTCCATAGTTGCAGGCCAGCAAGGAAGCATGTCAACTGAAGACCAAATCTGAGCATCCGAGCTCTTGACATGGCCGACATTGGTCTGAAGGATTTCAAGCCTTTTGAAAGGATCAGCCGGGCCGCGGTGCTGAGTCAGAGTGCGGCGTTTGCCCCCTGGCTTTCGGGATGCTGCTGCTGCCGGCAGAAGCCTTGCGCCGTCCTTTCGATGCCCCGGTGAAGCGGGTGGATTTCAGGCAAATTGGGTGCTTGGCGGATCAGGTTTGGCGCTTTGGACGGGGCTTGGGGGGAAAATTGGCCGGAACCGTTTGGCACCTTTTGTTGCCAGCAGAAGCTTCACACACACACGCACATGCACACGCACACACATGTACACACTTGCTTGTTTATCTCACTTGCTCAAAGCCGACCTTTTGACCTTGTGGTTTTCCCATTTTGGTCCATTTTTAGTAGAGATGCCAACAGATGGTCATCAACTCTGTGAAAGTCTTTCCGACCACCATTGTAAGCACACCCCTAAAAGAATCATGCTTATCCTTTCAACCCGCTCCTCACCCTATCGCGATCTCAGCATCATAAACAAGCTAATCCTCGCTTTTCTCCACGTGTTTTTCCTACCCTACCCTTGACAATTGTTATTTGTCAGAAGTGAACCTACGTGAAATGAAATGCTTGCAACAAATTCGCCAAAAGCGTAAGCGATGGGAGGTTGCTTGCTGGCGCCGTATCAGGGCCAGTGGCCTGAAGCAGTGACGACCTGTACGAAAGGTCGAAGACTGTCAGCTTGACTCCTTGATAAACTCCCCAGTCATTCGTCAAGGTCCACCCGGAGAGGAATCGCCGCTGAAGAGGGACTCTCCTTAACAACAAGTGGGGGTTTCGTGGGGTCGACATTACAGCTGAGCTGCAGTGTTCATTGCAACGAAGCGGTTCCGGTGCCGCTGACGATATTGCCACTTCGGTGGCTCTAAGTGAGACTTACACTACATATATTTCAGCCGGACTGCTTTGGCCACTGCCACTTTATCCGACCCGAACAATGTCGCAGTGCCTTGGAGGGCTGGGCCATGGGCCACAGTCGTCCATTGCCAGGCAGGAGACTCCTAGAGGCCGTGCCGAGGAGAGGCGGGCACCGAGGTCAGAGTATACCACCACTTCCATGCAAACAACTTTGCCATCAGCTTTGGATCACATTGATGGATATGACTGAACTGGTTGTCCAACCTGCCCTTCAGAAAATACCAACTGTCATAATTTAATAAATATGGGTCGCAACGGGGCCCTGGATGGGCATCACTGACACGCACCGACCTTTCCGGTCTTTTCGGTTCAATAGATTGAGGCTGCGACCACCCCCCGGAGGAAAGAAGGGACTTGTGCGAACCCGCGCATCCAGGACCAGTGAAAATCACCGGTGCCACCCGCGTCAGGTTGGCACTTCCCACTAGATTCCTTGTGTTACACACATTGTGGCGCTCCCTTTCATGGGAAAGGGTGAACTGCAACACACCCCTCCCCCTTCCTGAGAGCAGATGCTAAGTTTCCCGGGTGTGGGAAGGGAGAGCCCGGTAGCAGGGCTCGCAAGATGGATTGCGACTTTCCGACAATATGGTAAAACGCCAGGATGCCTGCCCAGACCACGGATCCGTCGAGCAACAGTGACAGAACCATTCTTTCGAAGGGGCAGACCCACTCCACCCCACAAATTACCAAGCTAAGGTTATCCACTGCGCCAATTTTGAGGGACGTCTCCCACGCCAGAGTTCAATCATGAGACAGCATCGTCAACAGTCCATGGTTGGAATTTGCCATGCGCTTAGCCGAGCCCTTCAGAATGTTGACCCCGAGAGGAAGTTCAGTCAATATGAGTTACAATTTGGATGAGCGCCCTGGTTGATACGTGTTGGCTAACGCATCACCCAAAAAAACAATCGGATGCAAAACTCGCTTGAGGCTCATTACTAGCTGTGGTCGTGAACAGTTTTCTAAGTGGGTGTTGGCCACAAAAAACCTTAGGCTCGTGAAACTAGACCCACCCGGAGCCGGGGACATTTTCTCGTCAGCTGGAAAAGGTCGATCTCGCCGCCCATGTCTCGCTCTGCGCCTTGGACTGTGATCTCTGCGTGTTTGCTTTGCCGCGTTCCAAGTTGTCCAGCGTCCCATTTAGTGGGGCTGGCCCTTGAACATGACCTGGAAGACCGCATCCTGGTTGCTAGCGGCCCCTGAACATCTGAGATTCCTATTTGGGTGTTAGCTGTTTCAAAACGAGCGGTCATATGTTTCGTGGCGACGTGCCGAAGTTAGCGTCATTTTTCCGATGTTCAGACCCCTGCCCTGCTGGTAGTTGGGTTTCCTGGCAAGCAAATTTTGAAGCAGGTGAAGCGGTGTGGCGGCGGAAATACTGATAGCTACGGAGCGTTGTTTTTGTTCTGCCGCGACCAATTTATTGTTGTCGTTTTGCATCGGGAGCCTCAGAGAAGACAACATACAGGCAGCTCTTTTGAACCGGATTTGTCCCAATGCGTGTGGGTTCAGGGCCCGCTCAGGTTGGCAAGCCCCAGGGCTGGAAGTTCACGGCCCGTTTGACGTTTCCCAAGGCGTCGGTGGCCTCGAGGACGTCGAAGGCATCCAACGCCTCTGGGGTTCTCTTGGGCTCTTGCGCCATCCCCCGACGGCGCCTTGGATCGCGGGCACCCGGCGAGTGGGGGAAGGGGCAGCGGTGTATCATGAGGGCCTGACTGATATTTAAGAATAATGCTAGAAGCTTCGGAAGGGGCTGTGGGGCACTCAAACAGCTTGCAGAGGTATCCTCCTTTGCACTCGGTAGGGGTGTCTTGTGCGGCATTCTCTGTTGAGCTGCATCCCCCCCTTTCCAGTTTCGTGTTTCGGGCTGTTGTTGATGATATCCTGTTGGTGTACCTCAACAGCCAGCTGCCGCACAATTTGCTGTGCTCGGAATGTTCAGATGTTACATAAGGTAATTAAGCCGGTAGGCAATAATTCAGAGGACCTCACAACAACTGCGAACATGAGTCACAACGAAATTATATGGTTCATTGTGTTTCCTGATTGAACAGACCAACAGGGAAGCAAACCGCTTCAAGTGGAGGTGAGGAACTGCTGCGACCCAGGAAACTCGTGCGCGAGCATCATCCAGATGCCCCTCAGCAGCTGCTGGAGGTCTACGACATGGAGGAAGGCCGAAATAAATCCTCGGCGGTGATCATAACACGTCGGCAACACGTCAAAACTAGGGGCTGCTACACTTCTTAAGTCAGGGTACAGCGCATTGATTTGAAACTTTCTTTAGACTTTCTTTTCAGATGCATTTTGCCTAAGACACGGACGGCTTGAATCACACTTTGAACTCCGAACACGTTGCCTGACAGTTTGTGGCGCTGATGAGGCACACTTCTACTTGACGGGCCCGGCATTGATTAGGATATGACTGCCTTGTGCCGGCAATGCACAGACAGTTTGCAGGAGAAATACATTTCCACAAGTTGGTTCTTTGTCTTTTGATCATGTGTCCATTGCAAATTGGAAAGGCTGGCGGCAAGGCTGGCAATCCGTTGAACATCTAGCCAAGAACACTGCTGAGCCTTCAATGTGGCACAGGTGTGATCGGCTACGGCGGCTATGGAACAGTTCGGCGCGCGTACCTCAAGGATGCGCCAAGCGTGGTTCGAGCTATAAAGACGGCGGCCTGTCTCAAAGGGCGCGAGCTGTTGTTTTCAGGGTACCGGTTACCCATGGGGACCCTTCCAAACCAGCAAGAGGCCATTCGGTTCTGTGGCGGGAGCCAATGTCTGGTCTTACAGCAGCTTCCGGATGCTCGACAGAGGGAGGCAGCGGCTTGAGAAACAGTACTATGTTTTCATCATTGCACATGTTGATTGATGTCTTGCTCTGGTCTGAAGCAGGATATTTTTCTCAGCGTGGTATTGCCAAGGGATCACA